TAGTAGTTCAGACGGTTTTCTAAGCAGTGAGGCGTCATTCGCGGTTGAGATGACAAGAAATGACTGCATAGTCAGCCGCAAGAGATGCCTTGTAGAGACGCCATACGGCAACTTTCAACCATCCTTGTACATTATTACACAATTATATACTATTCGCTGCTTATTGGCGGTTTGCGAGTACTACGCGATTATTCCGCAGTAGTTGATTGATTCCAGCCCACATATTCATATCAACTTTTCGGACCGTGCCTGAAAAGGTCGGCTCCGAAGAATTTACTCCAAGTAGTGTTGTAATAGTAATCATCGTGTGGCATAATCCCATAATAATTCAGTTACTTCACGATGTCGGCTTTCTAACGAGCTTCTTTTCGGCTACCTGCGAAGATTATATTCGGTAAAAAGGACTACTTAATTAGCATAGAATTGTCTAATTGATCTTCGATGGCCTTATAAATTAAAATATATTTCCTGAAAAACCCAAGGCTTTTCTTGCTGACGCGTTCCGCTCCCAAAGATCCCTGTTGACGGTAGACGCGCCGGCTGTAGTTGCCAGAGCGTTCTCCAAGGAATCAGCCGCACGATACATGCTACAACAACTTGGGCTGTGAACCTCCCCCCGTCTACCTGGGTCGTTAAAAAAGTATCGCCTAGTCTCAGGGCAGTTCGTGACTTCACCAGCCCCGGACTACAAACCCCTGACGTTCCCGTTTGACCGTCACCCAGACAAGCACGATCCGAGGTGGAGAACCCGACCGGACTATATCTCACCGTTCCTCCCCGACGTCCGCCATGTTGGCGGCCGGCGCGCTTTCCAGCCGTTCGCCCTCTGCACGCCAACCTTCACATGGGGTCGACCTCGCCGCTGGTGACGAGCCAGATAATGGCTCCCGGCTCGATCGCCGATTTCGCGTCACAGAAGCCCCTTGCGGGTAAGTTTGTCTGGCCTAGCATGTACGAAGACATCGAAGTTTGCACACGGATGCGTCCCAGTTGCCAGTAATGCGGGGTTCATTGAGAGAGTCAGTTCCCATCAGACACCTTTTCCCGCCCAGATGCACGGTCCAGACACGTCCATTAGGGCAGCGTATGCCTCCTGTCTCCATCCAGTATCTACACGCACTATCTGCATCGATTGGCAGCTGAAACCGTTTCTTTACCGAATGTGGAGGCCGACACAATCCTCAGAGCCCTCGTTCGTTGACGCGTCGCCACTTGGTGCTCTGTCTACGGTTGTGGCTGTATGGGGCATCCGTCGTGGGTTTGTGCTCCTCCAAGTCCTCTTCAAGTTCCTGAGCTGCATATGGATTCGGACAGTTTGCCGCCCACCCGGCAGCAGTATGATCGCGCTCTTTTACTATCCTACTTGCCTCAGAGGGACAGAGCGCCATTGCTCTGGTACTTCTTGAGCCTGTACTCAAGGGATAGCAGCAGTTGCCACAGGTTCTCGGAGTGGTAACAAGTGTGCCCACTCCCCCCTTAATGTCATTTAACCTGTCTACTGACAACATTTGAGTAGCCATATTTGAGTTTCACCTGCTTTGATGGCGCTACCCCGACCCCGCTTGCTTGCTTGCATTGTTGTTATTCCGTTGCATTGTACGCACGTTTGCTAGGGATTTCTCAAAACTTCTCAGACTGTTATGACAGGATACCCTGGGGAATATCACTGTTACACGGTCGCATACTGTGTGACCATCGGGGAGTCGCGGGACAGCAGGCTACGCGCACATACAGGCGACTGTTCCAGTCTCAGAAGAGTTAGTTTTCTACAACAGAAGTACGATGCACTTCGCGTCACCAGTTTAAACTATTTTATCCCCTGGGTAATAAGAACAAGTGACTGTTTTTCGATCCTTCGCAAGCTAACCGACTGCAAAAACAGTCCCTTTCCTGGTTGCTTATTAACGAAAAGTCCCCATGCCATTTCACATGAGTACCACCTACACTGACCAATTTTCGAGAAATCCATTCCATATTCCAAGACGTTAATAGGAACTTTCAGGTGGGTTTCGCGACTTCTGGCACATATCCGAAATCCACACACACGCTGTTTTCAGAACAAATCGAAAAATGCCGATCGGATATTATTTCGTAGCCGTACCTGCAGTAGACAAACCCCAGCCTAACTCCTAACAGTACGGCTGCAAAATAAGATCTTGCCAAAATGCCTACTCGGTATTTGTTAGTAGCGTGTTTCTATTCAACAACATTCGGACCGAGCTTCACCGTACCCGAGAGATGACACTCCGGCAGATAGCAGCCTACTGGAACCGACGTCAGAGAAACGTGACACGAGCGGCTTGAACACTGGCAGATCGCGCAACATAAGTCGGCTGAAATCAATGAAATTCTTGAACAAAACGACCACTGCACCCAAAGTTGGACGTCCGGTGCGGCTGTTAATTCACGTAGGCGATTGCCCTGTTCCGAAAAATCCCATTTCCCTCCTTTCCGGATGGTTAACGCGAACATGGTGGCTCGCAATCGCAACGTCTCCAGTGCTGCCTTGCACGATTTCAGCTTGAATATCATTTCCGAATCAGTGCAGGCATACTGCAAGCCCTCTTTTATGAGGAAGCAGAGCACGTGTGCACGGGGTGATAGCTCCCAAGAGAGGACCCCACCAGGAGAGCAAAAACAGACCCTTCGCCTTTCCTCATCAATTGTGCTTGCCTCAAAACTTGCATTAGAAAGCAGCTGAGAGATGAGAGAGAGAGCAGGCGAAAAAGAACAACAATAGGATATCAATTTCAAAATATCAAGGCAAATCAAGAGTAAAATAGCAAAAAAGTGCAACGCCTGAAAGTACGCAGTTTGTCGGAAGGTTATCAGAGCTTATCCTTGCACCAATCTGAATCACCTTGGCGGATTTTCCTAAAATTGACAAAGACACAGTGGCCATCAGCCGAGCTCAGGAACATACTGAAGCAAGGGAACAAATGGGTGGATAACTTAAGTGACTTACTTTCCGAGGCTAGGCATGGCATAACTGATGCGGTTCACGGTGCGTCGGTGGGGACGGTCGCTGTAGGAACCACTTGCAGGGGAAATATCAGACGAGATAAAGGTGTTTGTTATCCTCTTATAATACTACTAACAATATTCAAGTAACGTTTGTTTTTAAGAAAAGATTAGTGGTCCAAACACGTTGCACGCGGGCGCTGACATTCACGCAGGCGCCTGCAGATAAGTGAAATCGTACTACCTTCTCTATAGCACAATCATCCACAGACTGACTACTGTACAACGTACTAAGTAGTGCTAGTGTTTCCAACACTTGGGATACTTCGTTTGTTTGCACAGTTCCAAGTATTCTTCGGTAGGTGTTTGATGTTTCCGTTTCCAACTTTTTGATATGCTGCCCTTCTGATAGAAGCGAACAGGCGAGTTCCAGGTAGCAGTTCAGAAGATGAAGATGCGATCACTGGAACAAGAAATTTATTTGCCTGACGTTTCGGATCCTCACTCGAATCCATCATCAGAGACATTTATCTGCGAATGCCTCTGATGATGGATTCGAGTGAGGATCCGAAACGTCACGCAAATAAATTTCTTGTTCCAGTGATCGCATCTTCATTTTCTGATACTGCCCATCCTTGTAACAAATAGGGAGTTCAAAGATTCAACACCTAGATTTCCCTCAAATAAACTGAACTAAACTGAAGAGGCTGACAACTAATAAGAACAAGCCGATTGCACTTACTTTGACGCCATGGACGAACGGTCCCCTTCCTGTAGGAGAAAAAGGAGGGAATAAACGTGAGGCAATACACATAGCGAGCTTAACAACTGAGGGCAGTGATCTGTTGGGCTGAGGTTTACTGAATTCTGATGACTTAGGGCGTGATGAGTACCAATATGGTACGTGAAGAAGGCACCAAACTGGTATGCCTTCTTCTTATTCAATCTTCAAATTTACAATATTATACAGAAACTTCGGCTTAACGTTAGCGTAGCATAGGTTTACGCCCCGGCTGAAGACTGTTGTGCGATGCTGTCGCGTAGAAGATGGTTTATTCGTGACATGCCAAGAATTTTGCAGGGTCTTTAAAATGCAACTCATCCGCAGGCAATTCAGTGTTTACGTCTTAAAAGCAACTTGGTCTAGCCTTTTGGAATGTAGCCTCCGAAGCAGGCCATATTCACGATTAGGGGAAGACACAACAATGCCTGCGGCCCAATGACCACCGACTTAAACAACGTAAAGGCATGCACTGCACACCAAGTAAGACTTCGTTTCTCCTTCTAAATAGAAACAAAAGCAGACGGGGTCGTAAAATAAAGACACCTAGCTGGCACGGTGTTTGAAAACAACAGTGCAAGGTAATGCTTACGTCGCTCTGCGAAGCGTATCCGGACGGCCGTGTTTCCTGGACCTTGGAAACTGATGAACTCACGTCATTAGCCTGCGGGATAGAAAAAAGTTGGATACGTAGATAAGTGGCGAATGGGTAAAAAAACTCACTCGTTCCGTTGTGCCTTATGGACTCTCTCTCTCTTGAGCCCAACCAGCAGCCGCACAGAAGCGCATGATATAGGCAGAATGATATAACCGACAAAGACAAGGGAGACTGTAATGGCCATTTCTGGCTCATTAGCCGTCGTCAGCCAGTCATACCCAACCCCGAAGTGTGGAACACCCGAGGCTCAAACTTGCGACCTGCTTTTTAGAAGTCCACGCCTCTAACCACTGGGCCACGAGCCCGTTGTCCTGTCGGTTTTAGATCGGTCTTTGTCGGTAAGATTATTCCGCCTATATCATGCGCCGCTGTGTGGCCGCTGGGTGGGATCGAGAGAGCCCGTAAGGCACGACGGAACGAGTGAGTTCCGTAAGAACGATCGGTGAACGCCCCCTACCAATGTTTATTACCGATCAAAAACCGACAGGACAACGGGCTAGTGGCCCGGTGGTTAGTGGCGTGAACTTCTAACTAACAGGTCGCCAGTTCGAGCCTCGAGTGTTCCACAATTCGGAGTTGGGTATGTGTTGGGTGCGCCTACACTCCCAAAAACAAGAGCCAGCCAATCACGGGAGGCCACGTGCATTTTCTCTACTGCGCTGTCATCTTACTCGTGGCGCCTCTCCATTGGCTTTTCTTCTCGGGCCTGATCGATCAGCATATTCGAATTATCGACCGGCTCGTCTCGAATGTTCTTCCCGAAGGGCATGGAGCCGAACGCCGACGAAGCACCGTAGGGCGTCATAAATACGCGTTACTTCCAGTTAATTTTGACTTGCAATTCCCTAATACACAGTTTCGTGGCTGGTCGCGTTCTCCTTCTCGGCCGCGTTGGTATTGGGGACAAGGGTCGAGTGCGCATACGCTCCACAGGATTTCACGTACCAGGCGGGTCATAACAGTATGACTGGCTGACGACGGCTAATAAGCCAGAAATGGCCATTCCAGTCTTCCTTGTCTTTGTCAGGTAAATCATTCTGGATAACAAACTACCAGCACGTAACGCTGAAACTCCTGGGCCACTCACTGGCAACTTACCATCAGATCGGGAATGGATTGCCTCTCCAACAAAACCACAGGTCGCTGTTGTTCCACTGCATCTCCTCCCGCAGACTCCGTCTTTGCATCCGGCACCGGCAAAAACACCGAGTCTTCAGCGATCAACAGGGGCTGTTTGCGCTTCTTGCCCGGCGGTACCGGTATGCTGGAGTGTTGGCTGATTGAAAACAAATCGGGCGTTGATAAAAAAAATCAAAATGCGACCGTGAAATGCGAGCATGAACTAGGTGCGCAGAACCTACACTGTTGCGACAGGCGGATCACTGGGGATGGGAGGCTTGTTCTCATCGTTCACCGCGGGTTTTACTTCAGCGACTGCAGATTTAGTATCCACCTCCTTCCCTGTTGTCTTCCCCGAAAGCCGACTCTGAGCAGAAGCAGGCGCGTTCGAGAGAGCAGACGATGTAGTGTTGTTGGTCTTACCAGCGGTCCCCTTGTGGGACCTAGCCTGCGTCTTGCCTTTTCGTCCTTGACGCCACTTGACGGCGTTCTTCTTTGTGAAGACGCGCCTTCGTGGATTGTACTCCTCGTCCGAATCCTCGCTATCACGGTCCTCTTTCGGACTGTTTTTCGCCTCTAAGTCGAATCTGACAGAAAGATCGGGACGATCTTTCCGAGTTGGGAGCGTATTGGCGGCGTTTGAGGAAGACAGGGATGACGGATTCTTGGAAGGCGGTGCGTCCACAGATGGAGCCTCATACATATGGTCGGCAGAAGTGTCCAGTGAATAGACCGAGGCTGGTGGAGGTGGAGCTCTTGGCGTGGTTGCAGTGGCCTCTTCGGTCGCCGATTTATCGGGCTGGAGCAAGAAATTTCAGTTTCACTTTATTTGAGGGAAACATACGTGTTGAACTTTTGAACACCCTACTTGTTACAGGGAAGCGAATTATATCAACAGCTACAGAGGTTTTTTTCAAATTGGCAAAACCAGACAGATAAACGAATTGTTACAAGTGTTAAAAACATTAACGTTAATAAATGTGCTGTACAGCAGTCTGTCTATGGATAATTGGTGCTATCTCAGTTTCTGAGGGAGGCGAATCGGAGTGCCAACGCTCACATTCAACGGAACTGGGACGATAATACAAAACAAACGTTACTGAAATACAGGCAGTAGTATGATATAATTAATAAACTGATCAGGAGACGAAGCGATCGCTGGATCCATGGCATGGTTCCAGCGATCGCTTCTTCTTCTGATCAACTAATTCCTGGAACTCGCATTTTCCCTTGTATCAGCAATTAATAAACTTTTCGAACGAAATGCTAAGACGATGTACAAGACTTGGTGCGTAAACCGCGCAGGTTAACCGCGGTGCTGCGGGGAGTTTAGGCTGAACAGCAAATTAAACAACTTCACACATAAAAAGTGGGAGAACAAAGTCTGCAAAATTAGTGGTGAAGAGACCCCTTTGTCTTGAGCTAGTCAGTGTTGTTTCTCGCAGTGGCGCCGATCGAGTGCAGGTCATCCACGCCCTTAACCAGACCCTCATGCAGCAACGGCTAAAATACGCCCACGAAAAATCTGGAACCTATTCAGACTATTAGCAAAGACCGGCAGGACGATCTAAACGAAACTTACGCTGCGGCAGTTCATGTGTCTCAGCCTGTATCAACCTGCGTCCTCTTCCGCCTTCGGCCTTCTTGACTATGCCTTGACACCGGATTCAAGCGGGGGGAGAAGGAAAGATGCCGTGCAAGTCTACTACCACTATAAACCAAATCGCGCACAATTCACCGTGACTGCTCTCACCTAGCTGTGGAGCACGCGACGGACATCGTCGGCAACGGCGGTCGAACTGTCATCTCCACTAAGTATTAACAAAGGAGAATCTAGTCTCAGTCTGTCCATGCCTGTTACGGAAATGAGGTGTTATCCTCCCCAAGTGCTTTGCTGTTGTATTACATCGACGATTCCCCTAAAGAGGACATATTAAACACCAGACTATGAAAGAAGATTTCACTTGAAGTAGACTGGTGGTTGGTAGGTCGTTAACATTGAGAAGGTGCTCTATGTGTTTACGCGCCCGTTCAATCTTGGTTCAGACAAGGTCGTGAACAGCGTCATTCAGTGTAAGAAACTGTTTTTTTTTTTCGCGGAGAGTGCACGATATAGACGGAAAATACGACGAAGACCAAATGGAGGCACTATAGTGCCAACTAAGTGATCGTCCTAGGGAAATATATAGGTACCTGGACAGAACTGGGACTTAACCATGGAATTTGAATAGCAGTGTCCACTAAATTACCACCCAACCTCTGTAACCTTGACAAATACCGTTGTCATAATACTACTTGCTATATTTCAGTAACATTTTAAATCGGATTTCTTATTGTCCCCAACCCATCGCCTACGCTTACTGACATGCACCTATGCAACTTGTGTCCCCGGGTATATTATTTATTTCCCTGCACTCGAAACGATCGCTGTACTTCTGCTAGCACCACTAACATTCGAGACAGTTTGTTTATCTGTACATAGTTGACGCTTTCCCTATCACTTGTTACCTTTATAATAGCTTTCGATAAATTCTCGTCGGGCCAGTACAGTTATATGAGAACGGGGTGGAAGTAAAACATGCAAGCGATAAGAGAAGTCGATAAAAGTACTCCTTAAAACAAAGGCGGGGTGTGGGACTGTGGGGGAGGGGGTGGGGGTGGGGGTAATATTAGTCATTGTCAGGGGCGGGGTGAGAGCGGAAGTGCGCCGGGGGAGTTGCACCGTTACTCAGCCTTCGACCACTGTAGGCGCGGAGCCTGAACGTGGTTCTTCTGCGCGCATAAGGTTGGCTTTCGTAACCTAATGGCGGCCGCTTTCGCTGTCGCTAACAGGTGCTGGCCTAGTAGCTTAGGGTAGCTCGATGGGACCTTATAAAGCACACGAAAAGCCTCGTTGGGGTCCACACGATGTCCGGAATCGACAACATGCGCGAGAATGGCGCTGCTTATACTCCTCGTTTCGCCTTTTCCTAGCCAAGCCGGGAGGTGTTCGCGTATTCTTTTGGATAAGCGCCGACTCGTGCGACCAATATAACCTGCTCCACAGGAGCAAGTGAAGGAATATATGCACATTGAGGTGGTCTGCGGTGGCAACTTATCCTTACCTTCTCCGCGTAAAATAGGGTTAGTAGAGAAGCTTTTCGTGTAATTTATAAGGTCCCATCGAGCTACCCTAAGCTACTAGGCCAGCGCCTGTTAGCGACAGCGGAAGCGGCCGCCATTAGGTTACGAAAGCCAACCTTATGCGCGCAGAAGAACCACGTTCAGGCTCCGCGCCTACAGTGGTCGAAGGCTGAGTAACGGTGCAACTCCCCCCGCGCACTTGCGCTCTCATCCCGCCCCTGACAATGACTACTATTACCCCCATCCCCACCCCCTCCCCCACAGTCCCACACCCCGCCTTTGTTTTAAGGAGAACTTTTATCGACTTCTCTTATCGCTGACGTGTTTTTCTTCTACCCCGTTCTCATATAACTGTACTGGCCCGACGAGAATTTATTGAAAGCTACGTATGCTCGCCACCTCGTCTTCTGGTTAATGCTATGGGAATTTTCGCAACCTTTATAATACCTTTTTCAGTTTTTGAGATTTTGCAGTTGCTTGTAAACAAATAGGGAGTTCAAAGGTGAAGACCTACATCTCCCTCAATAAAACTGAACTCAACTGAATACGAAATACTGGAAGACAGCTTCTCGAGTTGTCACGAAAAATAAAGGGTGCATACTTACACTTTCCACTAAGGTGGAAGAGGAGGACCATTCCATCTCCACAGACTGAGCGCTAGGGCGAGGCACGGCGACTTCAAGTTGGTCGGTCTGGGGGGAAGGGACCAATGAATGCAGGTCTGCGACCTCCGTACTCAAGTTTACTTGGCAGAGGGTTGTTCTCTTCCTAGTAGGAGAGGAAATAAAATGCAAGATAGGTATTTCGAATTCACCGCCACTATGATGCTATGCCGACAGGGGAGGAAAGCGAACACTCGACGATATGAACCCTGCCTGTCCGGCAAGTGAACAGGCTCCAACCACTCCGGTTAAGCAAAAACCCGCCTATACGAAAGGCGCTCCCTCCATACGCATGGAATAAAAACCAAATCGGACAAGTAATGGAACAAATGTGCTTTAGACGCCTCTACAGTTTGCAGCCGAGTTTCTCAATTTTTGCTCAAAAGTTTTGATGGACCTCATATTCCGGTTCGGTGGATCACAAACACCCTGAGGGCCTATAACTGTGTCACACATCCTTCTGAAAGGTCTCGGATCGTCGTCCATGGTCCTTGGTGCGAATGTATTGATTTTCTGCCGACCAAAAATGAGCATTCTTTTTTCGGACGGATGGTTCAGTCCGACAAGGGAATAAAAATAACCCCCCTCCCCCACATCTAAATTATGTATGTGGCCTTGCGAGAAATTCCATATCCTCATGTCCTAACCTTAGCCCAAACTTTAAGGCTACTGGAATTTAGCGCAGGATCACCTGTTATACGAGGGCCACTTGTCCCCCTACCCTACCGGTAGTCCTTATTGAAGACACAGTAGGACTTCGAGTCAGCCCAGCCCATCCTAGGGAGTGCAATTTGATCTGCTATCCCTTTTCGTCAAAACTTGCATGTAACCGACACCAAACCGCCTAGTGTGTGTTTCGTGAGCTTCAAATTTCTGGATGCGATTAGTCTTCACTAGTTAATGACGGACTAACGACTTTACTTTTAGTGAATGATCACTCCTGAATGCGTGATGCGAAAATTTACACAGGCGTGGGAAGGTAAGCCGCATTCCAGTGTTCCGCCGAGACCCGAGGAGCAAGCTAGGAAGATGCGCAGCTTGCCTGACTGATTTTGTGTTATGCTTTTGCAGACATTCGATACAATGAATTTGACTTTAGAAATCAAACATTGTAGCCCTCGTAAGCCTCCTTTTTGGATGAAACGTTCTCTAAAATAAATGCTCAAGCGGCATTTACGTAGGCAGCAGCGAGAGGGGGAGAGAGTGACAGTTTCAAAAAATTAACGAAATTTCAAGATGAGGAGCCCGTAAAAGCAGGGTGAACATACTCCGGTGCGCCCTCGACGGACATGTCCATAGTGATTTCAGCCGAGATCTGGTCGTTGCCTGCGACGAGGAAGCCATCATGCATTCTGGCAACTGTCTGTCGGGCCTCACAGGCTCGATCAATCAGACTGTCCAGCGTCTCCTTCAAGCTGGTCAACGAGTCGAGCTGAAAGACAAACGCACGCAACGGTGTTAGGCCAACGTGAGTGAGCGCATTTCTGGCAGCAAACTGCTCGTTAAGGGATGGTGTCTAAGAAGCGCGGTTTGTCGGCCAAGTTGGGAGGTCGGTTAAGCAACCGCGACCTCCAATGACACTAAGGACCAGTCGTGAGGACGCCGAAGAGCGGGTAGCCAGTTCGGTAGCATTGTTCGTCAATACTACCACAAGAGCAACCGGCTTCTGCCCTAAGCAAGCGAAAGTATGCGCTGATGAGTTACCGAAGGAATCTGTTGACTGCCTAACGTCCTAAACTGTGGGATCAACGGTCAACTTCGTAAACTGCAAAGCACACCTAATCGTGCAGTTTTTTCTTGATGCTGTCTAAAACTGTGGCTGACCAGAGTGCGTCAGCCGTGTACATAATGCAGTGATTAGTGTAACCTCAAGAGAGTACAACGAACGTGCCCTCCGACTACAGAATTCCTATTGTCATGCAGTCCCCGATTTTCACCATGGCTGTGCGACATTTGTCTAGCTCACAGTCTGACTAATTTCAGCGGTTTTTAAACTTCTCAGAAACTTGAGCTTACTACCAGTGCCCAGCAGGAGGCATAAAATCCGTCAGCTTAGAGTCAGGCATGGGGTTAGGACGTTTTGGGTGACAGTTGGTTGACTCGGAGGCCACGATTTAGGCAGTGCCAAAAAGATGCGTCAAGTAAAAAAAATGTGAGAATGAACTCACGGGCTGAACAGACTGAAATCTGTTCAATTGGAGCCGTAGACGAAAGCACTCGGCTTTACAGGCTTGTAACTCGAGCGTCCGAGTACAGAGTTCCGACTGAAGGCTTGAAACACGTCTCGCAAGTTCTGCATTATTAGACTGAAGCATGTCCACGCGTTTGTTTGCCAGGACTGTGAAAGCGGGTAGGAGTAAAAAAAAGGCATTGCCTACCTGAACGCTGCAAAACTCGACGCGAAGCATTAAGCACATTTCGGGCCGATCTTATCTGGACGCTGTCGTTTAGATTGATCGTGCACTTTCTCACCGACCGAGAGGCCGGAGTGGCAAATTCACGAGGTCTGGCCTAAAAAGTGAGAGAACGTAAGGATGGTAAGGCGTTCAGACTAACGTAGGGCCAAATGTTGTGATAAGGAGCCAAACGTCCAATAGCAATGCTAAATGCTGTCGTGTTAGCAACGACAAAGGAGTGCATACGTTTACATGTTGAGTCCTTAAGCGCCGTTGTCAGGCCCCCAAGGTGATTTTGTCAAGCGCCCGCGGCTATCGCATTACCCTCGAGGCTGGGTATGGCTGACTGACTTGTACTTACTTGATACGGCTGCGATCATGCCTGATCTAGCCGGCCTCGATGATGTCCCGAATTGTACCTCTCCACGCGTGACGATCCGCGGCAGCAGATCTAGACAGATCAACCCATTCCCTTCGCCAACGACGGAGACCGAATACCGAAGGTCCAAGAACCACCTCCATGTCTTGACGGACAGTGTCGAGCCAGGTTTTGAACTGACCCCCTCTTCGACGCTTCCAATGGGGCAACGGTGCCGGATCGAGGGCAGTAACACTGAGTTCCTGAGTTGGACGAACCACCTCAGTCGTCTTTCTTGGATGGCCTGAGTTATCCTCGCGATGTTGTTGCAGCGAGCGCGGACTATATCATTTGAGACGAAGTCGGTAAACTTCACTCGAAGGATGATCCTCAAGCAGTGGTAGTCAAATACCTCCAGTTTTCGCTCATCCGCCACGCGCAAAGCCCAGCATTCACAACCGTAGAGAAGGACAGACCGAACAGATGCACGGTACACGCGAATCTTAGTGGCGATGGAGAGGTCACGTCGGTTCCACAGGCATTTCCGAAGGCTTGAAAAAACCCAGCGGGCAGCATCGATTCGGGAGACAATGTCTGATGACGGCTAGTAAGCCAGAGGTGGCCATTTCAGTCTCCCTTGTCTTTGTCGGTAATGCTCTCCTGTCTGTATTACGCGCCACTGGGCGGTTGCTGGTTGCACTAGAGAGAGAGAGTCCTAAGGCAAAACGGAACGAACGAGTTCCGTAAAAACAATCGGTGAGCACCACCCTAAACCATTGTACGTTCCCGATCATAACCGACAGGAGAACGAGCCCGTGGCTCAGTGGTTAGAGGCATTGGACCAACGGTTCGCGGGGTCGAGCCCCAGGTGTTCCACGCCTCGGGATCGGGAATGAATGACTGACGACGCCTAATAAGTCGAAAATGGACATTCCAGTTTCCCTTTATCGGTAATATCACTCCGATTTTCCTTTTTGACCCAACTGTGGAAAACTCGGAGACCTTGGTAGGATTTGAACCCATGACAGCCAACGCTCAGATTTGGTGGGTTCTATACGCTGCAGTAGGTTAGACGGAGAACTTGACCCAACTGTGATTAAACTCCCGGCTCTTGGTAAGACTTAGTGACCTAGGTGACTAGAGCGTTGGCTGTATTGAAGCTTTCTCCTCATCAGTCACTCAATCCATCAACTGCATTCCCAAACTGCATATTTGGAAAGGAAAAATGCCTCCAACTGCTGATGACAGCCTGAGGAGACGGACTTTCTAATCTTACCTACCGAACAAAGCAGGAACGATACTGTCACTAGAATCCAGGCTCCTGGCATGATCCTAACAAATTCTCCAAGGTGACTATACGCTAACGACCATCCATGTATAAGAAGACGGACTAAGAGTATAAAAACGAGGCATCCTCTCCTCCCAACGGTAGCGCTGGCAAAAGTGACGTCCACATTCTCCTCGATACTCACCCTGAACAGCGACTTTTTCCAGAGGCAATGCGAACTCCCAAGGAACCAAAGAACCACCACCATGATCTTTGTGGTGCGGCAGTGGCGGAAACAATGACGGGAAAGTACAACCAGCCTCCGAACCACTATCGGTCTCAAAAGGGGCTTCAGCACTATACACGGAGACGCAGTAGGGAAAATAATGCAATTTCAATGTCCGGCATGGTTCGCGAGAATGGGCAAGAAATGACGACCACGCGTCAAGGGAATGGCCTACCCCAAAGCCATCAAGTGACAAGCTGGTTGCGTGCTAGCCCCAACCTTTTCCAAACCCGCTTTCAACAATGCTGACGGACACCTACCTGGAATTGACCAGGTACCGGCACTAGCTGCAGAAAGGACGAGGAGCCAGCAATCATTCACTGTACCCCCTCCCATATAACTGTATTGGCCTGACGAGAAGTTATCGAAAGCAACGTTCGCTCGCCACCATTTCTCCTGAAAAGTCGAAAAGTTGTGCCGACAAAGATAAGGCCAACGACGTAGCCGTTTCCTGGCTTCTGTGACTTTAACAGTCCCAACTCCATGTCATACGTCCGATATTTGAATCCCAGCCAGTTAATCATAGAGCAACTGGCAACTGTAGCATTGTAGTCGGGTCAATTAGTTCAGTAATGGCAATTCCAGTGGCCAAGTATTTATCGGTAAAACTTCCTAATCCCTGATTGCTAGTCGTCATTCGGTTGCCTGTGCGGGCTGATCGGCTTTCAGCTACAAGATAAAACGGAAATGCCTACTTCCATACTGCAATAAGGACACATCAGTGCACGCTAATCTTAGGCGAAAAGAAATTATTAAAACTTCGTAAGATGCAGGTCAGTATAGGAGCCTCCAACACCCGAACGCACTTTTGTCGATGACAATACGTTGAACACTAGAACCAAAGCCGACGTGCACCGAATGCAGGATGTTTTCGCCTCCGAATACACTGACCTCGATCTGGAACACAGGAAGTGGTTGTCAGACCCCGATTGGCGTCAATTAGTGAGTAGTATGAACCACTTTGAAGCATTATCAACTAAAAAGCATTATCCCACGGACCACGAGGAAAAGTGTGACGATGCAAAGAAACCTTGAAGACCACACTCAAAAAACTTAAAATCAATCAGGCGTCCAGAACACTAGCGCAGGATTAGCAGGCATGATAAACTTTCGCAAAAACTAGAGCAACCATCCTCCAATCCAACCGAACCAAGCATCCCGAGAAGTGAAGGCTGAAAACATGGCCATCCAAGCACACGACAACACAGTATCTTCCATCTGCCTCAATTACAGCCGCTCGTTCTGTTTTCGGCTCTCCCGGGACTGACAACTCCGCAGTCACTGCAGCGAAGACGCCATTAGGACACCAGACAGCCTTAAGTCTTCCCTGCTACCACCGCAATAAGTAAGTCAGACAATGAAAAAGAATGAAAAAGAATGCAACAGCATACCTAGTTGCGCGATGTCCGTTGCCCAGACACGGAGTACTTTGGATGAGGCACACGGTAAAGCAACTGCGCCTTTGGGGTATATGGACACTTCTCCATTCTACTAACCTAGTTGCTGTGTGGTCCACAAGAGACTGCCTACTCCACACCCACCCCGACTAACCTAATGCAGAGATCGCCGCCTGCCAAAGAACAAAAGTACTACTAGTCTGGACGGATGTACACACGCGATTTCGTCGCAGGACGGCAGAGGAATCCCTGTCGTGAGACCCGACCAGAACTAGTCGGGCCAACCTTAGAGGTAAGCACATTCACAAATCCCGTTGGGTTACTCAGTTATATGCGCATACGCGAAAACAATCACAAAACATCATCTACACTTACGCGATGAAGTTTGCCAAAAATAGTAATGAGCGATGCATTGTACCTGCGGATGTCTGTGTAGCTCACATCAGACGCCTCGTGCCATCAATCAATACGTCCGGTCTCATTCGCAGTCGGTTTAGCTTGGACGGACCACTGACACATGAGAGAGGGAAGAGGAAACTCGGCCAAACGGCACAGATTTATTTTTCAGTTTTCCTACCCCTGCACCCATTGCATTTGCGACAACTTCCATTTATCTTAACGAATCTCTGAGAGGAAGTTCAAAACTGAGAGTGCTGAGTCATAAAGCCAACTTTAATACGGTGGATGCTAAGCCAGACGAATTTGTAGTCGCACTTGAAGCCATGCTAGTAAGAACCAACGCAACCGACGATGTTAAACACACTAGGCGCCAGAAAGTCATCTCCCTACTACTGACGAACAGGCCCATCAATAATATGTAGCCCGCAGACATAGAAACAATGGAGGAATTAAAAGTGGACAAGGATACAATGGTGCTGTCAGTCGACAAGGGAAGAGCAACTGTCGTGATAAAACGAGTCGATTACGACGGAAAGACACAAGCCCTCCTTGACGATCAACAGTCCTACAAATCCACGCCTTCGTCGCGAGCCAAAACGATGATCGTTCAACTAACCGGACTATTGAACCGACTCAGACGCAACAGTGCGATATCGCTAGACGAATGGCGACAGATGAAACCAACGGACACGGAACTGGCCCGATTTTATGGTTTACCTAAAATCCACAAGCCCAATGCTCCACTTCGACCAATCGCTGCCTTGAAAGGCAGTCACACTTACAATCTAGACAAATGGATGGCCCGAAAACTTAACTTACCCCAAGAAGGCTCGAGGGCCTCCATCAATTCGGCCTTCCAATTCCTGGCCGACATCCGAGGAAAAACTATCCAACCTGATCATATTATGGTGTCCTTTGGCGTGGTTTCATTATCTACATCCATCCCACCGGACTTAGCGCGCGACGTTCTACATAAACGACTCGAAGAAAACTACGACCTCTAAAAATCAACCATTTACTGCAACTCTGCTTTCTGCCAACAAACCTTTCTCACCTCCAATGGCAGAACATACGAGCAGATCAAAGGAAAACCGATGGATTCGCCAATATCCAGCCTGGTTGCAGAACTAGTCCTGCAGGAGTTGGAAAAAGTCGTCTTCGACCACTGTGAACCTGAATTTTGGCGCCGGTACGTGGACGACACGTTCGTTATAATTGAAAGGAGCAGACTGTCCGACTTTCGAGACCTGCTTAACGGCATCTTCCCCAACACTCAGTTCACAAGGGAAGAAGAGCATGCCGAACAGCTGCCTTTCCTTGACGTTCTCGTCACACGCACACCCAAAGGCGAACTCAACACCACGGTGTGCAGAAAGGCGACTAACACGACCCAGATTCTCAACTACCACAGTAACCACCCAATGGCGCATAAACGCAGCTGTGTTAGGACACTCTTCCAAAGGGTAAAAACGCACTGCAGTGAGCCAGAGGGACGAGTACGAGAACTTCGGCATCTTCGGGACCAACTGGCAAAGAATGGATACCCCAACAGCTTCGTCAGCCGCTGCCTCCGCACGCGCCCCGAGAACAAACGGAGGAGAGTCGCCAACACGCTGGCGCCCTCTACCACATATAAAGAGCGTGTCTGAAGCGATGGAACGTATCGCTGGAGAGCTCGGTGTGGGTATCGCTCACCGTCCGACAGCGACCATGCGCAACAAAATCATGCGTGTGAAGGATCGCCTCGACGTGGGAGAACAATCGGGTGTCTTCTATCAGATCCCACGTCGGGACTGCCCTCGCCACTACACAGGACAGACCGGACGACGACTGAGCTCACGAATAACAGAGCACAAACAGGCGGTCCGGAGAGGCGACCCGTTGTCTCAGGTCGCCACTCACACCCTGGAGGAAGGCCACGAATTCAACTTCGCGAACACGCGGATAGTAGCGCGGGCCAACAATAAGACAGGGCGAGAACTGTTGGAGGCCTGGGTGTCTGACACCAACTCGATCAACAGGCACGTTGACATACCCCCCTACTACCATGCGCTCCGTTCCCGCGGCCAAGAGGCGAGGTCCAATTCCCAGCCAAGGATGCACGCAGTCACGCCGCCGCGAGATGGTG